GAAGACGACATAAAAGCCAGAATTGCTGCAGGGAACCGCTGCCTATGGGGTTTAAAGAAAACCCTTAAGTTCAATAACCTCTCAAGAAAGGCAAAGGCCTTAATCTATAAGACAATAATAAGGCTGACAGTCAATTATGGAAGTGAATCATGGACCTTTATAGCAGAAAATAAGAGAGTTCTAAAAATCTGGGAAAGAAACGTTCTTCGTGGAATATTCGGTGCAGTGAAAGAGGGGGATGCCTGGCAAATTAGAACAAATAAAGAGCTGCAGGAGTTGTTTGGAGAGGGAAACATTGTATCTTATAAGCTGGGCTGATTTAGGTGGTTGGGACATATGGAGAGAATGGACTCAGGTAGAATCCCTAAAAAACTGCTCTACGGGAAGCCAGGCGATGGATGAAAGCAGGGGAGACCTCAACTGCAATGGCTGAATGATGTCGAAGCAGACCTGAAGGTTTTCGGTGCACACCACGGGAGAAGATGCTAAGGACAGAGCCGAATGGAGCAACCTGTTGATGAAGGCCAAGGCCCTATATGGACTGTAGTGCCAGTTTGTGAGTGAGTGAGTGGAAAAGATGCAGTAAAAAACCTACTAGGTTTACTGAGCCTATTCTGGTATTAATTTATAGTGAATTTAAACTAGTTTAGAAATACATAGAAAGTTTATTTTTTTTGTTAAAAATGTAACTTTCATGGTCCAAATGGGTAGAAACCAAAAAAAGTGTGAATATATACCAGTTTTTAAGATATCCAAATTGATCGGGGTTGTCGCCGAGGTCGAAAATTTAGATTGTAAAAAACAACATAAAAATGATTTATCATGTTTGTAATACCCCATGTAACAAGTTGCCTAAATGATAATAATAATAATGTTGAGAATATAATATCTGAAATGGCATAAATCCTTCAACTTTAAAAGTATGAATGTGCCTTCATAACTTTTCAAAAACTATAAATGAGGGTATTGAAAAGTTGGTGTAATCAGGAAACAAGTTTTCACATATAAAATTTTAAAAAATCATAGAAGTAGACCTACAACTTTTTACTATGGCTTGTTTTAACAGATAATCTGTTTGGCCATAAGGAACACTTGGGCACCATTTATATTGGACACCATGTATACATATATAATTATATACACCCAAATTTCCAACATTTACCGGCTAATAAGAGGTTTCATTTGTGAAGGTAGAGAAAAGTATAATAAGTGTTTTGAAATCATTATAACGAAGCCTTAACAATAAGATTTTTTTTTCTTGGAAATATAACTTCAGTGTAATCTCAATAATCTAAATTAATTGCTCCATGGGATGTTCAGATTACTGTTCGGGAAAATTACTTACAACAAATGATTAAACTAAATAAATATATACAACTTTGTTAACTGGATAATGTATATACTCACTTGAATACATGTATTTGAATATATGTAAAAATGTCTTTCATTTTTTATTTATTATTTTTAAAGAAACCAGTTTGTTTGTTTTTTTGTTTCAGACTTTTGGAACACATTGCTTTATTTCTTACAAGTGGAGTTTATGTTGTACGTAGAATCACCAATTCCAAAGAAACTTTATTAGGTTCTTGTGAATACACCATGGGAACCGAGAAAAACATTTTGTTTTCATAATTTCAACAAAATTCATGTTATTAATTTTTGCCTTAACTTGGCCCATATCTTTAGTTTACTATACACTAATCTCTTACTTATTTTGTGCAGAATAAGAAAAAATATTGGGGTGGGAAAAACAATTTTCAACTTTGTTTCTATCTAAAAAAAATACTTACCCCTGCATAGCCTCGCCAGCAGGTCAAATTTATTCCCATATAATAGCTATTTACCAAATATAATATTTTTTCTAATCCAGCCAAGTATATAGAGTAAAGAATTTTTTTGGGGAAAACAAAGTTTATACTCATTTTTTGCACCCTGAAAAAATCTAAAATGTGAATTTTCATAGCAATCAAAACATTATAATTGTTTGCATGAAATTTTTGCCAAGGCTGGACCATTCAAAATTTTGTCACCGACCAAAAAATTGGTATAATTTCAAAACAACTCCATTGAATAGTTAATTATTAGAGAAAATCACTCTGTATGCTACAAAAAATGCTATAAACATGTCATCTGTAAACAAATTAAAACTACAGATATAAAATAAAAATGCTGGAGAAGTTTTTCTAAATAGCTTAAAAAGAAATGAATTCTAAAACCTACGATGTGGTTTGGAAAAAGCTTTTCAGTGGTTGTACTAACAATGAATTGGGATAACATCTTAAGAAGTTATGGATGCTTTAGTTGACGGCCGAAAAAACAATTCTCCTAAAAAAAAGTACTAAAATTTGCAATTTTTTATATCTATAAAAATTTTTATTTATGAGTTTTAAAAAACAAATGTAACTTTCTTTTTCATAGCAAAAATTTACATGGCCTACTTTGCTGGAATCCTGTTTTAGTTTTTGTTATTTGAGAAATTTAGTAACTCATTTAATACTATAACCAATATTTTCTTCTTATTCTGCACTAAAAAATAATCAATTGGTGGTGTATAATCATATAAATTTTGTTTAAAATTCTGTAATTTTTTTTTTTCTCGGTTCCTAGGGCGCATTATAAGAACCCTCGGACATGGGTTTAATATCACCTAGTATCACAAAAAAAGTTTCATTGAAATCAGTGACCCCATACCCTTCCCTTGTTAGCACTAGCAGGATTTGTTGATATGGCATATTGTTTTCAATTTCCGATCAAATACAGTAATTAAATCATACATTGCCTCATCGTCATTCTGTTTTAATGAATGAAGATTAGAGAAAAATGACCACAGGAAGGATGGATATGCATCTATGAGTGTACGTTTGAGCTAAGAAAATTTCCATTGTTGCCTAAGCAGACAGATTTTATTAGACATTTGTTTATCGCTTTCTGCATCCTTTTTTTCCTTTTCTTGTCAATATGTTCCATTCACCATTCTTTGCCCTATATTTTTAAATTCATTTATTTATTTTAATTTAATTTTTTTTTGCTATTTCAGATAACTAAGGTGTTCAGATTACTGAGAATATTCTTTATTTGACAATAATAAATCATAGAGTAATAATTCACAGTGTTTTTCAATTTCACTTCATCTAAGATAATCAAAATGTGATAGACAATTTTTAAGTACAATTCTTCTAGTTAATATAGGCAGGACTTTTTCATTAAAGTATTAAAATGGTTCTCAGAATGGTTTTATTGTTTTCAGCCTCTGATTAATTTACATATATCAGTATGATGATCTATAACTATATGACAATCATAAATTAGGGAGGGAGTGAACTGAATTTAATCCAGATTATTTTGTGTGTGACAGTGAAATATTTGATATTGTTTAGACAAATCTGGTAGCATAGCAGATGAAATTCAACTTTGACATCTTGGAGGAAATATCAAAAATATAATTTCTGATATTAAGAATAGAACTTTTTATTTATAATTGCTGGTCAAAATTTTATAAAATCAATGGTATATATACATTGCAGACACTCATCAGGCTAAGCTTGTCAGCCATACCAATGGGTCCCTCCCTTTCACTGTATCATGGAGAATCTAATGCAGGTTTTTTGGGAGCTTACTAACTACTAATATAGGAAAGATAAAGCCAACAAATATGGAGTCAACAATTTTAAATTGTGTTGTAGAAGCTTCACTTAGAATTCTATTCTATTCTATTCTATTCTATGCTAGAAACGAGATGGCAGTTCCAATTTTCGTAGTGATAAATTTAGCAGATGGATTTCTGGGTATAGCAAAACAATCATCATGGATAATTACTACATAAATTTGAAGCTAGCCAATATATATCTTATGAAAAATACTTATTTTCTAGGAGCAGTCAGAAAAAATAAAAAACGGCATTGTATTGGACTTACTGATATAAAAAAAAAACAACATTATAGTAAGGAAAAAAAGTAAAGTTTTTTGGAAATGGGACCTATTGATGCTCTCCGCAAAACACTTTGAGACCAAGAGGGTCATTTGGAAAAGCACCTGAGTAGAAAAGTCAACTACTAAAACAAGGGAAAATCTTGTACAGCACTTTCTGACTAGATGTTAAGTTATAATTCTTGCTTGAAGAAGACTTTAAAATTATATTATAAAATATTCATAAAAATCTTTTTGGAACCAGGTTAAACCTTAAACCATTTTTTAAATGGTTGCCTATAAGGCTGGTTCAAAAAGATGTCAGCCAAAATATAAAAAAAGACTGAAGGGTGATATATATATATACACACATATATATACATAAAGAGGATCCCAAAATTATTTGAAAATAATAATGTCTTGATTTCCAAAATCCACATTCTTGGTTGGAGTTTTTTCAGAAAACAATTGTGAGTAATACTTTTTTTGTTTACACAAAATTCGAATTGAGTGCTCTAGTCATTTAATGCCAGGTAATGAAAAGACAGATGGATGAGCTGGTTAACAAAGGTTCAATTTGTATCTGAGTCGAGTCCATGAGAACAGTAAGTTTCAGTAAAGCTAAAACAAAAATCTAGGTGGCTTAAGTCAATAGAGGCAGAGAGTAAGAGAAGAGGTTTAACATAAATGATCAACTAAGTTTGTTAGTCTAAAAGGTATTAAATTCTCAGAAGCAGTGTTCCAATACTTTTTCCCTCGAAAAGTGCCAACATTTTATTTCTCATTTTAAAATCAATTGTTTTGATCGAGCAGGCACATATTATAATGAATCACTATACACTTCTGTTTTTAATTTTAAATAAGCAAATTAACTAATATATATAAAAAAAAAAAATCAATCATTGAAACAACAAAATGCATTCAAATACTTTATCTTCATTCTATTTATTTAAATTATTATTCGAGAAAGTATAATTATTAATACTTAAAATTTTTAAGTTTTTTTTTAAATGTAAACCTCAATTTAAAAAAATCTGTATTACAACAAAAAGGAGTAGACAAAATTTCGCACTGAACCAGTTAAGTATTTTTACCTTTTAGTAGTCATTTTGTCTCCTTTAGAGAATGAAAGTTCTCCTTGATGTTCTGCTTCGAAATCATAGATCCCAACAATTTCTACTTCTTCATCTAGAATTATTGCAAATAGTTATAGAATATATTAATTATATATTTAGACTAACATATCCACTAGAACAGGAGTTCCCAGACAGTTGTATGCATGGACGATCCTGGTGGTAGGTAATTAAATAAAAAGAATAAAGAATAAAACACAAAAATGTTTATTGATAATTATAAAAAGAAAAATGGCCCTTTTTATTTACTAAGTATGAAACAATGATATTTCTTAGTTCATAGTTAAATTTCTTACTTTTGATGGATAGAATTTATAGTTTATTTTCAGTTTTCTTGCAGTTAGGTGGAAATGGTGAACTTTAGATTTGTTAACCTAATTTTTAATTTATTGAGCAAATTGACTGGTAAAATCAACAAATCAGTCTGTAAGATAAACCTATAATACTAATCTCATAAAATCAGATACTGGTTGTGAACCTAGTTACATGAAAAGTACAAGTGGTACATAGTGACATGAAGTCTGGGAACCCCTGCATTTGAACACTAACTCTCTTATCGATAACTGAATAAAGGAATAATTCAGACTTAAGTTTTTACAAAAAAAAATATATATATATCTAGCTTAAATATTCAAATAAATTGTTCCATTTTTTGAAAGTTGCGGCTCTGGAACGGCAGACAAGGTGCTTTTTAATCAGAATAACATACATTTTCGTAATTTACAATCAAACCTTCGCCTGCGATGAGGTCGATTTTTGGGCCCTAGCTCCAGGGCTACCAGAAATCTGAGATCGCAATAAAAGTATTTAGGGAGCCATTGTGCTGTGCAAGGAGAGCTGGCAGATGAAAATTGATATGGGTAGATGGTGTGACAGTTGACCCAAAACCGCTGGGAGTTAGAAATTGAAAGTGGCTATAAAGAACAGAATTGAATGGGGGAAACTCATTGAGGAGGCCAAGACCCAGTGTTGTATAGCCAATAAACAAGGTTGGCAAAAAATCTGGTATGATGTATCACACAATTTTCACTAACAACCCTACTTTCATAAGAAATTAATTTTTTTTTTTAAGTAAATAAACCTTAACAATATTACTTTAATTATAAATATAAACTAAAAACAATTGATAACAATTATGATAATTCTGTGCGTTATATGTGTATTTTTGGTTGATGAAGCTGACAAAAAAATTTAGCTTTCCATACATTTTAAACGAAAATTCCATTCAGTTTCTTTATAAACATTTATTTCTCATTCAATAATATGAAAGTAGACAAAATTAACTACAACCATTAACATTTATAATTTTTTGTCACTTGTCATTACCTACCTTGTGAATAATAAAAACATTAATTTATTATGAAATTGAAAAAAAATGTTGTCCATTTTATGCATTAATCCCTTAATATTTTATTATTATTACCTTTTCTTACTGCATATTTGCATTATTATGCTTTTTAAGTAATACTTCAATGATTTTAGTTTTTTGTCCATTTTATGTATTTATCCCTTAATATTTTATTATTATTACCTTTTCTTACTACATATTTGCATATTTTGCTTTTTAAGTCATATTTCAATGATTTTAGTTACATATAAATGTGAGTATATTACATATAATTTACATATAAATACTGCAGCAAATAATAGAAAAATCAGCTGATGAACACTGCAGCAGTATATAAATACTGCAGCAAATAATAGAAAAATCAGCTGATGAACACTGCAGCAGTAAACAATCCAGTATTTGCAATGAATGGTATCATTTGGAATGTGAGGAGGCCCTGAAAATAAGTAATATCCAAAGTACTAAGTTTCTTAGCCACGATACTCAGCAATCAAGAAAAGAATATAGGGATGCTCGCGTATATCGCTGGACTGAGAAAATGTAAAGCCCCAGGAACAGATGACATCATGGTAGAGCTGTTGAAAGCAGCAGGGTCAGAAATGGACACTAAACTAAACAATCAGATAGCTCATATATGGGAAGAAGAAAGAATACCCGAAAATTGGAAACAATCTATTGTCATTCCAGTATTTAAGAAGAAAGGTGATCCCACAAAGTGCAGCAATTACAGAGGGACCAGTCTTCTGAATGTGGCATATAAAATATTTGCTATTGCTCTATACAACTGGCTAATAGGGGTGGCCATTTAGGGGGTTTAAAATCCACATAGAAAGCACAGTTGGTGATTACTAGGCAGGTTTTCATAAGAACATGTCTACAATAGATGAAATTTTCACCCTTAAACAACTGGGTGAAAAGATGTATGAATTCGGCCACTCCCTATGGATACTATTTGTGGACTTTGAGGCAGCTCACAACTCAGCAATTAGAAATAAACTGTACATTGCAATGAAAGAAATGGTTATCCCTAGAAAACTCATTGGTCTAACTAGGTGTACCATGGAAAATAATATATGACAAGCCCGGGAGATCACAAGCCGCTATGGAGGAAGCGTTCTGCAAGATAGAGCAGGAAGAGAAATATATGGGACTAAAAGTGAATAAAAATAAAAATAAAATGATGTATTTTGGTAGATGTGGTTTTTATTTTTTGTTCATAATTGTTATTCTTAAAGGACCTCGTCCCAGAATAAAGTTTATTTTCTATTCTAGTCTATTCTAATATACTCAAGTAGATTAGTTTATGAACCAGACCCCCCTACGGTTCACTACCCCCCCCCCACATTCCTACAAATTGCATATTGTTGTGTTCCTTTTAACTATTTATTAAAAAAAGCCGATGTTCCCACAGAAAAAAATGAAGACTGCTCCAAAATGGAGTCCAAACATGGCAGACTGATGACTTTGACTTTAGTTAGTTTTTTGGTCACTGAGAATCAGCATTTGGCTTAATTTCGCCATATTTGGTCTTTTATTAAAGCTGGATAGTCAGAAAATAATAAAATATTAAAAAATAATTGGCTTAGGCAATAAAGAACAACAGTAAAGTCAATTTTTTTACCAAAAAAATTTTCAAGTTGAAAATCAAGCATTGTTTGTAATGAAACATCTGGAGAACATATATTTTTTTTAAAACACTGATTACTTTTTAATATATTTGAAGCAGTTCCGTAGAAAATGCACTTAAGCATCAGAAAAGTCACTACCTGAATATCTTAAATTTTTTACACTTTATTTCGTACACTTCGCACGGGCTCGTTACCGCGTATGGGGAGCGTCCCACGGGTGGAGGATATGGGGATGGTCAGTGGAAATTCCTTGGAAGTTCCTCCAGGCTAAGTTCGATGGACTCGCTGACCAACAATGAGAGGGGACCTCCAGACTTGCTGGAGATAGGGGCCCACCAGACTTGCTGGAGGGTGTGACATAGGATTGAACGCCCTACTCACATATCTTTAGTTCACCAAACACAACAAATAGTCATGGATCTCCCTAAGGTAAAACGCTCATTATCCGGAGGTAAACTAGTCCCCCGTTCAGGTCTCCGGGTGGGGACTGCTTTAGGGGATTCATGGCGCAAGTTGAAATATAGGGATTTAAATATTGGTACGTGGAACGTAAGGAGTTTAAACACAGCAGGGGGGCTAAAATCGGTTGCTAATGAGGCAACTGGGTACAATTTGGATGTCGTGGCTCTGCAAGAGGTTCGCTGGCCAGGGGAGGGTTCGATGAGAGAAGGAAAGTACACTATTTGGTACGGAGGAAGCGGGAATCATTGTTTAGGTACCGGGTTTCTAATTAGGAATAGATTACTATCCACTTTGAGGGACGTACAATTCTTTAGTGAAACAATTTAGGTAGCTATATTTCAGGGACGTTGATTTAAAATCGCATTAATAAACATACATTGTCTGCCTGAAGACAGTGACGATGAAGTCAAAAGTGAATTTTACGATAAACTCGAATGGGTTTATGATAAACTACTGCGAAACTACATGAAAACAATTATAAGTGATGCGAACGCAAAGGTAGGAAGGGAAGAAGTTTATATTCCGACGATTGGTAAAGAAAGTTTGCACGAATATAGTAATGATAATGGGATCCGTCTGATAAACTTTGCCATCTCGAAAAACCTGATAATTAAAAGTACGACGTTTAAACATAAGGATATTCATAAATATACTTGGACATCACCGGATTCGCAAACACGAAATCAAATCGATCATGTCTTGATACAACATAGCTGGCAAAGCAGTATAATTAATGTACGGTTTTATCGCGGAGCAGAATGTGAGTTGGATCATGAATTAGTAATCGCGAAACTTCGACAAAAACTTAATAAATCCAACAATTAGAACCCAATTCGAGCTAGATGTTAAGAATAGGTTTGAAGCTTTAGAGCTTCCTGACGAGGACCACGAGGATATTGACAAGTTATGGGTAGAGATCAGAGATAATATTAAAATGGTCGGGAACTCGTGTCAAGGAAAAAAGGAAAATAAGAATAACAAACCGTGGTTTGATGAAGATTGCTTAAACATGTGCGAAAAAAGAAAAGCAGCTAAATTAAAAGCTCTTAATAATCCTAGCAAAGACAATTTGGAATACTTCTGAAAACCTCAAAGAACGAAACGACAAAATTGCTCAAAAATAAAAAAAGGGAGTATCTTAAAAATAAAATAATTGAAATAGAAACTAATAGAATCGAAAATAACGTAAGAGACATGTACAAAGGTATAAACAGATCACGTAAATGTGTAGTGCCCGTAATGTCTGGAATTAGGGGTGATAATAACAATATTCTGACCGATCCGTTTGACATATTGAATAAGTTTAAGGACCACTTTGACAATACTTTAAATATGGGAAATTATGATCTGTGTCCTCCTTCTGAGTACCAGAGTGCTGAACCGTTAACAGAAGGACCAAGTAAAGAGGAAGTTGAAGTAGCTATCGGAAAATTAAATCTTATAAAGCAGTGGGAACCGATAGTATTCCTACTGAACTAATTAAGGCATGCGGGGAAGCTGGAGTTTCTAAAATACATGGACCCTTTTTGTGAATCGGAATAAGAATCTATTCTTATTCCAATTCACAAAAAGGGTCCGAGGAAGGATTGTAATAACTATCGAGGAATTTCACTCCTTCTGGTATGTTATAAAATATTCACTTTAATCTTAACCAGTCGAATCACGGAATATGCCGAGGAAATTATCGAAGACTACCAATGCGGATTTAGACGGAATCGTTCGACTATTGATCGGGAATTTTCTTTACGGCAAATATTAGAGAAAAAATTGGAGAACAACGGTATTGTTCACCAGCTGTATATAGATTTTAAAAAGGCTTACGATTCTAATGACCGCCAAAAACTGTATAATATTCTAATCGAGCAGGGGATTCCAAAAAAACTAGTAAATCTAGTCAGGATGTGCTTGACGGAGACACTCAATAAAGTTAGAATCGGTAATAATCTGTCGGAAAAATTTGAGGTTCGTTCGGGTTTAAAACAGGGGGATTCCCTTTCGCCTGTCCTGTTCAATTTGGCATTAGAACATGCCATTAGGGAGGTAATGCATACCAAGAAAGGGTTGGATCTGGGTGGGACAACATCCGTGCTGGGCTATGCTGATGATCTGGTACTGTTAAGTGAAGATGTTGAAACTATAAAACTAAATACAACAACGTTAATGAAAGCTGGTAAAGAACTAGGACTCGAAATAAACGTGGATAAAACAAAATATATGGTTAGCTGCAAAAATGGCGATACTACTTGTGATATTGATATAGATGGTAATATGTTTGAACAGGTAGATAAATTTAGGTATCTAGGTTCTACGATAACTAGAAAAAACGAAATTGAAGAAGAGATTAAGGTTAGACTGAAGGCGGGGAATGCTTGTTATTTTTCTGTGACAAAACTACTTAGTTCGCGCCTCTTGTCCCGAAACTTAAAACAATTATCTTGCCTACAGTTCTTTACGGATGCGAAACTTGGCCGCTTACATTAAGGGATGAGCAGCGTCTTAAGGTTTTTTAAAATAAAGTATTGTGTAGAATATTCGGACCGAAGAAGGATGAGTTAACCGGAGAGTTCAGACAGTTACACAACGCCGAACTGTATTCGGGTAATATAATTGAGGTAATTTCATCGCGGCGAATCAAATGGGCTTGTAAAATTGTTGGGCTTAGTAACGAGAGAATTCCTAAACGGTTGTGCCGAATGGTAAGCGTCCGAGGAGTAGACCGAAGAGAAGGTGGGAAGATTGCATTAAAGCCGATCTGAAGGGACTGGGTTTGGACGGCGAACAGTGGAGGGAGGTGTGTAATAAGCGATTGGTGGTGTCGGCATCGAACCTTCGGGATCGCTAAGCCTTTTATTATTATTATTATTTCGTATATTTACTGATTCTTAGAGGTAATTTAAATTGTATATACTTCCCCGGAAAGGAGTCATATTAATACCTGTTTTATAAACTAAAATAATATATACCTAATGTGAACTATATATCATGAATAGTTAATGGGTTGTTTAGTAAAACTCATAAATCACTAATAAAAATATTAAATTTTATTTCCTTTATTTTGTTCGGAAGTTGGACCATATCATAAAAAAATGGGGAATTTTAATATTGAATGCATTATTCTCTACGCACAAAGAAAGATGGAAAGGGCTAAGCTATAAGTTCTTCTAGGTAACCGGAACTGATTGTTAGTATTTGGTCTCAAAACGAGGGAAAACATGAAATTGAACCCAAAAATTGGAAAAATACATTAAACGAACAAGAAAGGAAGTGGCAAAATCTCGGAAAAGAAAACAAGGATCAGTTTCCATTATATGGCTAAACAAATATATAGTAGACAGTTGAACAGAATATTCCAAGATGCTGCTAAAAGGGGGTCAAATGTTGGAGCAGTTAGGATGATGCAGGGGGACAATGCAGGTTTATTATGGTGAAGACCATTTTATCAGCAAGAAAGATTTCTTCCAAGTAATTGGCAAGTCAGCTGGTCTGGATGAAGTAAACCAAACTACTTCGCGTATATAGGCAACAAATGTATTAGAAAATGATATGAAATTACTGTAGTTTTGTCCCTTTACAAGAAAGGAGATAGTAGGAAATGTAATAGCCATTGAGATTAATTCCTGTTTAGTGTACCAAAGAAACTCTACTCATGAATCGTAGAAGCTAGAATAAGAAATGTTGTCGATTGCCAGAGCGATGTGGATTGAGAAACTCAAGTTGCACATTGGAACAGGAGTTACAAATTGGGACTGTCTTGACTTTAAGGCAGGTTATAGAGAAGTCCATCAAGAAAGAAAAAGAGCTCTCTATCTGCTTAGTGCCTCACATGGTGCTAATATCTACTAGTCTTTCAGAAAAGCTTGTTTTCCTTTCAGATTCCTTTAAAAATCTTTTGCAAATGCACTAAATAGAAGGAGAACTATTTTTCTTTCTTGTTAGACCTCTCTGTAACCTGCTTTAAAGTGAGGATAGTCCCAATGTGCAACTTCAGCAACAATCGAAAATACAGTGGTTTTCACCAAAATAAACCTTGTTTACTTCATCCAGACCTGCTGACTTGCGAAATGGTTTGAACAAATCTTTCTTGCTGATAAAATGGTCTTCACCATAATAAACCTGCATTGTCCCCCTGCATCATCTAAACTGCTCCAACAAGGGGGTCAAATGTAATGTAAATGTCAAATGTAATCAGTGTTTTAGAAAAAGAAATATATTCTCCAGATGTTTTATTTCAGCACGTTTTGCACTATTGTTGGCCGTTTAATTACAAACAATGCTTGATTTTCAACTTGAAAATTTTTTTATTGAAAAAAATTGACTTTACTGTTGGTTTTTATTGCCTAAGCCAATTATTTTTTCATCTTTTATTATTTCACAGAAAAAAAATCATTACATGCCAATAAAAGAAGTTTGGACTTCTTGTGGCTTCACTTCACTGAACTGTTACGGAACAAGCTTTTTTTTTATCACAAGCTGTGGCAAATGAGACTTAAAGAGGTCTCAATGTGGCCTGGAGACCCATAAGTTATACTAATAAAATTAAATTAAATAAATAATAACAATGTAAATTAATAAAAATAAACTTGTAAGTAAATCCATTTTTCTTCATTGTTGGTTAAGTTTAACTAATAAGTCAGAAGAGTATGGAGAGAGAGAAGTTATGGATATGAATAAATACTAAAAATAATGTCTTCTCTTCTATCTATGTTAAAAAATTTCTATGCCTGGAATTCAACTGCAGAGGTAGAAATAACTTAAAAAGGCCTATTTGGTCTTCTTGCACATACAAAACACCCACAACATGTTTTGGGTATTTCATTTCAGAAAATAAAACAAAAATACCAACAAAATTACTGAATAGAAATAATGACAACTCAGGGATATTTTTTTATTTGAGCAAGGAACGAAAAGGTCTATAAGTTCTTTCTGACCAAAAATTCACTCGATCTTTTAGCAAAATATATTCAATGAATAAAATTGTATGTATATATTGAGTTTTAATATTTTATTAGGTGTAGTTTACCTGGAACACTCTATAATCTGAAATATTTGGTAATCTGACCAGCCCCCAGCAGACATTGGTCCAGATAAATGATATTGCACAGTATTAATAGTGAATATGACAACAAATGATTGATTATATTTTATGCTAATTAATAATGACTGAATTTTTAATAAATTAATTTCACTGTGAAAATAATATACACCCTTACCATCTGGAACTTCGTCAGGTAATAAATACTTGTAGACTAAAGTAGGTCCAATAATTATTGCCCCAAGAAAAGCCAAAATAGGCCATTGTCGCTTCCTAGAGCTTTCTTCGACTATGGTTCTTTCCGTTGACTTCCAACTAACCTCCATTCCATTCACCAGGCCTGCAAATGTAAGATTTGTTGAAAAAAAAATGGCTAGAAAATTGAAATGTAAATATTAAATAATTTTAGACAGTAGGAAAATTCAATTCAAGAATAGTTTTTCAGGGTGTTTCATTTTAGAACATTGAACATATACAATCTAATGTACAACTTCTTTTCCATTTTTACCAAACCTGTTCATCTCTCTTCCAATAGGAGAATTCCACCTTCCTTCCACTTGCTTCTTGGTTTCTCTTTTTCCTTCCAAAGTGCAACTTCAACTTTTCTTTCTGTATGATTTCATCCTTCATTCTGACTACATGTCATGCCCATTTTGGCCTACATGCTTTGATACAATTAATGATGTATTTATTACTGTTATGATTGTCATTTGCTAGGATACTGTGGTTGGTAACAACTTTTTCATATGTATAATGGTTAAGACACTGAAGATATTTTTTTTAAATAAAAAATATTAATACATACATTACAAAATATTTTACTTGTATTATATTTTGTTAGATAATACTAGCCAAGTGGAATTCAATGGTACAGAAAGGAAATAAAAAAAGGTAGGAGTAGTGTTAACATGTACAGAAGACAGTATCTGGAGGAAGTATCCAGATGGTCGTTGAAATTGGTACGGCAACAGGAGTAGGGAGAAAGTCTTATCCATTCTTCGTGTAACAATCAAGCATTAGTGCCCACACAATGCTTATGAATTCCAGGTCCCCTATAACACTATCAACAACTACTGTCACATCCACATGGTTGAGAAGAGTTCAATGGAAGTTGCAGACAACAGAGGGAAGGTCTATCACTTCAAACACTAATGTGCTGGTCCTTCATAAACACCCAAGCCAGGAGCAGTGTTCCTAGCTGTGGCTAAATAGCAGAGGTTGAATAAAAATACACTGTTTTTTATTGACACGCTTGGAGAACCAGAGGCACCATATTGAACTAAATTTTCTAAATCCTTTGTACTAAATATCCTACATTTACTAAGGTAGTGAGTGGGCACAAGTTTGCGAAATTGTCTAGCTATTATCAACACATGAAGTTGTCGTGAAAGTAGTGCAAGGCTATAAAACTAATTAACCAATTAGATGGTATAGATCAACTAGAAGATAAGCCATCAAAATATGTAAGTATTAAACTGTCTAGTAATTTGATGAGATTCAAAGTACTCAAGATACATGGATTTTTAATGGCTTATGTTGTTTTTCTCCTAATTGAATCAGCTGATTGTAAATAAAAATTATTTGGAGATAGAGATACAAACTGGTGGTTCACGGAGAGGACATAAATCCCACTCTCATAGCTTTCATCTGCTCATCTGTACACTATACCAGATGACTGGTCTGAACCACGTCATGACCAGCTGAACACTGGTGTCACACAGCGAGCAGTCACAAACTCCCGACAACTACGACCGCCACGGCCAAGCAGTGCAAGCACTCTTGCCATCAACCCAAAGCACCGCCAGAGCTCCGGCGACGCCCCGTAGTACCAATTTGATAGGGAAGCTCCTCTTCCCTGACCTCAAAGCACGATTGGTTTCAGGCTCCACGGTTATTACAATCGCTACGGCTTTACATCAACTGCCGATAGTATAGGAGGATGCCTGCACATCCGCAGTCAATGAAGGACGGCTCAAACCGACAGCTCAAGCTGATAGCCGTCCCTACTCAGCGCGGATACAGTAAGGAGAAAGCTTGCTGAACTTAATTTGCACGCTAGGGTTCCCGCTTATAGCTCTCTACTTACTGCAGCACACCAAAAAGCTCGCCTTCACTTTTGTCATGAACACATTGCCTAAACAGAAGATGATTTGGTCTCTGTTCTGTTTTCTGATCAGTCCAGGTATAGTCTTAATGTTGCAGATGGAGTTCCAGTGTGGACAAGATCAAGTAATAAATTAACTCAGTGCAATATAGCGGGAAGAGTGCAGTTCGGAGGAGGGTCAGTGACAGTTTGGAGTGGAATATGTTTAGAGTCAAGTACAGACCTCCATGTGTTCCGAAGGCCCATGCTCAATGCATACATGTGACTTTTTGGACCGTTTTTCATCCTACGTTTCCTTTTTATGCTGGATAATGCTTGGCCACACACCAAAAATGTTGTGCAGAACTACCAAGACGAGGTTAGTGTCACACCTTGGAGTGGCCAGCTCGCCGTCTGGACTTCTACTCTATTAAGCATCTTTGATATAAGCTAAGGACGTCCACCAGTGGATAACAAAACCCTTCATGTAACTTCCAAGTACGTTAAATGAATCAGATTCAAGATTGAGTAACCACCTTATTTGTACTATGCCTACAAGAGTACATGCCATTATTCAAGAAACGGGAGGCAATACTAGGTACTAGAGACTCAGATTTCATAATTACAAAAGAATTAGATGTGTTTTATTTATGTTTAAAAGAGTGTTAATTTGCATTATTTTACATTAAGATTTTTTAAAATTAATGTTGTGTTTTCCCCTTTACTTGTGGTATTCTGCAAGCAGAATATGTCACATTATATTGAGGTAAAAAAATTGCTATTTATTTTCTGTTGGGAAAGAAATAACAACAAAATTTCAAGTGTGCCGGTTTTTATGACCACCAGTGTAGTTGATTTAAATTATAATGAACAAAATAGTCAGGAAATGCACTCATTAATGATGTTTGTTAAGCTTGCCAACGTTTTGACCAAAGGATGTGGGTCATCAGCAGAGTTAAAAATAAAAAATAATACATATAAAAGTACTTGAATCTCTCAAACAGCTCCTAAATCAACTTGTCAGATATAAAATAGACATGGTTGACCCGCCATCCAGAAAATCTGCTGGATCGGCCAGGGCATATTTGAAAAGAAACGTCATTCGATATATTATAGAAGTGGTGAAAGGTAGACTCAATCTAAGATAAATTTGTGGGTGGGTAGAGTGTGAGAAAGATGCGCAGAGGCAAAACATTTTCCCACCAACCCCCCACTCTAGTCTTCTCTAATCATTCGTATGTACTTCTATAATTTTTTTTACGAGTAGAAATTTCTTAAAGGTAAATATGGTGGAGATGAAGTTTGGGATGAGCTCCATAAACTTATTTATGATATATGGATGGATGAAGAGGTCCCAGATGAGTGGAAAGTGTCGGTCTTATGCCCAATCTATAAGAAGGGAGACAAGCTAGAGTGCAGGAACAATCGAGGCATAGCACTGCTTGGCATAGCTTATAAAATACTATCCTCTGCCATTGGTAAGAGACTGATATCACACATGGAGAGGGAAGTAGGCGAATATCAGTGTGGCTTTAGGAAGGGTAGATCGACTATTGACCAGATCTTTACCGCACGACAGGTGCTAGAGAAGTCACTGGAATACAACGTCGACCTGCATCACCTCTACACTGATTTTCAGCAGGCATACGACTCAGTGGATAGGCAGGTTTTGGTGAGGGATCTCCTTTCTCTGGGTGTGTCTAAGAAGCTCACTCGCTTAGTAAAAATGACTGGCAGATACCAGATGCAGAGTGAAATTACAAGGATTGTTGTCAGAGGAGTTCTCTGTGGTTTTGGGAATAATGCAAGGAGACACCTAGGCTACTCCCCTTTTTAACATGACCTTGGAGAAGGCGGCAAGGGCCATAAGAACCAACCCTGGAGGTACCATCTTTGACAGCTTCACACAGCACATGGCGTACGCAGATGATGTAGAGAATGTGGCAAGGATGCTCCCAGCGCTGGCAGGTGCATTGAAGGAATTTGAGACCGCTGCAGCAGCTCGAGGTCTGCAAATAAACGAGCAAAAGACGATGTACATGAAGAGTTCAAAACATCGCCCTCATCAAGATCGGACTCTAAACATAGGCCAACACGAGTTCCCAGTATGAAGAGAATTCAAGTACCTGGGATCCCTTATGACGGCAGACAATGATGTAGGAGTTGAGATAGGAGCCAGGATCGCTGCGGGAAGCCGATGTTTTTATGCCATACAGCGACTACTCACGTTTCGAAGACTATCAAGGAATGCCAGATTGACAATCTATAAAACATTGATTCGTCCAGTAGTCACATAAGGAAGTGAGACATGGGTTATCTCAGCAAAAAATGAGAGGGCTCTTGGAGTGTGGGAGCGTAAGATTCTTAGGAAGATTTACGGGCCCGTATGCGAAGGTGTTTGGAGGTCACGATACAATTGGGAGTTGCGACAACTCTACAGGGATGCAGATCTCATAAGTGTCATTAAGGCAGGACGAATAAGATGGTTAGGGCATGTGGAAAGGATGACAGCGCACCGAGTACCAAGGAAAATATTGTATGGACGACCTGGAGGAGCAAGAAGGAGAGGAAGGCCACCACTTCGTTGGCTGGAGGATTTTGAGGCGGATTTGAGACAGCTTGGTGTCAGGTGGTGGAGGGCTGTCGCATTGGACCGAGACGAGTGGCGACGTATTGTTGAGAAGGCCAAGGTCCCACGTGGACTATAGCGCCGAGGAGTAAGTAAGTAAGTAAGTAAGTAAAGGTAAATCTGGACATCATCGGCGTACAGATGGTATTGACAGTGTAGGATAGAGGATGAAAGGTCATAATGTAGATGGAAAAAAGGGTGGGCGATAAAGAGGAGCCTTGTGGGACACCCCTGGACAATGGTAAAGATTCTGATGGGGGATTATTGGGGACTGCAACATACTGGGAGCGGTTGGAAAGGAAGGATTGGAACCAATTAAGGGTACTAGTTGAGAAGGAAATATTTTTAAGCTTGGTTAAGAGAATTTTGTGGTCTACTGAGTCAAAGGCTTTGGAGAAGTCAAGGAGAATAAGGATTGTGAGTTGCTGCTGGTCCATGGCTGTAGGAATGTCTTGGGAAATTTTGATGAGGGCAGATTGAGTGGAGTAGCCGGGTCGGAAACCGGACTGGTTGGGATTTAGGGGGTTATTCTGTTCTAAAAAGTCGGATATCTGGGTTTGAATTAGTCACTCTAATGGTTTTGAAAGGTTTGAGAAGAGAGAAATTGGACGGAAATCTTTGAGAGTTGATGGGTTGGAAGTCTTTTTCATAGGGTGAACTAGTGCGGTTTTCCAGGATGTAGGAAAGGTAGCGTTTTGTAGTGAGTAATAGTAGATATGGTAGAGGATTGGAAGGATGGATGGTAATGAGGCTTTGATCAGTCTGACTAGGATGTTATCGGGTCCATAATAATTGGTTTGCGACTTTTGAATGGAGTTGAGGAGGTCATCAGGTGTAATATGGGAAAAAAAGAATTGATCAGGATTAAAATTTATAGGGAAATACATAGGAGCCGGTATAGTCGCGGGAGAAGAGGGGGATACCACGACCTCACTTGCAATAATAATGGTGGTCAGACGCCTGTCATAAACAAGAAACAAACATGGCAGATGTTGTTGGCAGTGATGCTTATATAGAGTTGGCAATCATGGATCTCATTCTCGACACCCTCACGATCCTCTACAAATCGTTTGTGTCACGTAAACACTTTAAATTGTGATAGTGTCTTTTCCCTGAACAGTTCAGTCAATCTCCTTAAGATTTCAGCCAGTTTTACACCTTCTGCAGCAAGAAACTTCATAACAATATGCTGTACAATTGAAGAACGAACCTCCTGCTCAGACATTGTCATCGCAGATATTGAGGAGACCAAGTAAGGTAGCCTAACTGCTTACCCTCCCCTCCTGATACCTCTATCCAATACTCCTAAAAGTGGGAACCCTCATATTTCAATAATTGCATGCCAAAAGTAAAAGTCTCGCTTATATTTGGTCCACCCTTATGAATAAAATTTTTTAAAAATAGCTATTTTAACTAAAAACAAGTTCAGATTTAGATTCCTCAGATTGAAATTTAGATTCATTAAAAACAGTTAATATAATGATACAGTATGATGAATTAATGTTTTAATAAAAAATAAAACAGGTTGTAATGCTTTTGAAAATGAGTTATAAATCCGAAACATTGAGCAGAAATAAAAATTATTTTCTGGCAATGCTGCTATTATAAAATTTTATGAAGTACATTTTAAACGGAGCTAAAGCTTAAAGCTTACAGATAACAAGTCATTAAGACCATTATAATTACAAAATGTCAATTTAATATATCGACGGTAGGCAATAAAAATCTAGTCACTCCATCTGCTTTTATAAACCACAGAATGACTAACTCCAATTTCAACATTTTTGAGTAATGTCATTTTAGTGATATTTTTAGTTGGAAAAGTTATCTATGCAGACAGTGAGTAAGATGATTCCGGAGGTGGTGATTGCAGCGTTGAAATATAGAACTGAGAATAAAGGTATAAATTTAGGTACTTATTTCTTATGAAAGATGTTCTTAGGAAAGATACTTAATTAAATATCTGTAGAAAAAAGGTTTTTTTAGTCTCAATAATTAAAAAAGTATATTTTAAATTTATCCAAATTTTCGCCTCTTCAGGGGAAAAAACTAGTATAGCAACGCAGGTTTTTCTGCATTTTTATTTTTTTTCTCCTTTATTAACTAATCAAATTCTTTCAGTAGTTATATGTAGCATTTTTTTGTAACTCTGAATAATGCGAAATGATTAACTTTTTAAAATAAACCATATTAAAGGTACTTTAGAGGAAGACATATGAACTTTGGGCATTTAAGCCCTGTAAAGTGACATCAACAGGGATAAGAACTAAATGATATTAAAGACCTCTTAATTATAGAAGATACACCGAGTTTGATCAAAATCGTTAGCCGTTTTTGAGAAAATTGTAAAAATGTGTTTCAGCGATCATATAAAGTGGCACTTCCGGTTAGCCGATTTCAACAAAAAAATTGCTGTCACATCCGGCCCATATACAAACCTTAAATTCTTAATATCAGTTTCATACTACTTTTCGTTTATGAGCTAGACTATTAACATACACACACAGACCATTTTGCGACACTTGGTTATTTGGACTCAGGGGACCTCAAAACATGTATTTCCGTTGAAAACTGAGATTCAAAAATTTTCACGATCGCAATACTTACCCTTACTATATATTACATATATACGTAAGTGAAAGCAAAAATTAAAAGCAAGTTCATTATTTCACCTACCTATACTAATATATATTGATAATTACAACTGACCATCAAGAATAAAACCATCAGTTAAAAACAGGTTGTAGTGCACATAAGGAGTGTTTAAAGTAACTAACAATCTTTGTCTCTCTTTAAACTGCTAACACATTCTAAGAGCCTATGAGGAAGCTTGAAGGAGTGCCTCTACACATAAAACATGAAAGGGAGATTTAAGGAATGTAAAAGAGAAGGAAATGTTTGAAGAACAACTTTTTATATCACTCTTATAGTTTTAAAAGTCATGATACATACCCAAAAAGTGGAGAATTTTTCTATAGAATGAATACATAATTTTAAGTATTGCAAAGGCAGATAGGAACTCAATTATCGCAGTTCGCATCTTTGAAACATTTTCAGCGACTCCTAATATAGCTCTGAATGACATGTTCATAGCCTGTGAAAAATAAAAAATAAATTAGTACTAACCAATGATCATGCAATTGATAAAATTCTCAGTGATACGGCTAAAGTAAAAAAATATAGGCATCCCCATATAAAGGACTACCCCTTAATTGTAAAAAAAAAAAACTGTTGATTATAAGAAGACGGTAAATAAATCAGAAAATTCCTCAAAAGATAAAATTATGAGAAAACAAAATGAGAGTAGAAAATAGTGCTTTTAGCTGGTCAGAAAAAAGAGGCTGATTTACAATGGTGAAGATGACATTTATAAAATAAAGGAATTAATGATAGTCAAAGTTGGGGACATTGTAACTAGGGATGGAACGAATCTCTTGAAAACGGTAATGGAACTGGATCTGACAGTGGAACCATAAAGAACTGTTCCAATGAAGCCTGCTTATTGGTTCCAGTGGAACCATTAGGCTGTGGAGGGCTCACTGGTTCCAGCGGACTTGTTTGAAACTATTAGACAGGAATTCTTAAAAAAAATAATTAGTTGTTTAAAACCAGCATTAAATTCCTCGTTTTACTAACTTTCATATAAAATTTATTCCTACCATTATATAAGTGCAGAAGCAAAAGTCGTATTAAAGCCTACTTAACTTACTAACCTTCATAAAAATTTCTTTATCTAATATTTTTTTTTTTTTTTTATTATTTATTGATGATATTTACAACTGTATTACAAGTAAAAATACATTCAGTAAATGTGAACAAAAGAATATAATAGCATGAAATCATTTGTTGAGAAACTACCCACTGGTAGCACTCTAATTATCTAATATTAGATATAGAATTGTTTTATAAATCTACAAATAATGAATTAAGAGTAAATCCATGCTATTTGGATCCAAATAAATCTTAAACATGTAAATGTAAATACTATTTAGCTTACTATTTAAGTATGTAACACTCTAAAGAAGATTTGGACTCATTTGGACCTGGAACCATTAAGGACAGAACTGGAACTGTTCCAAACTTAAATGGTTCCACTCCATCCCTAATTGTAACTAGCCTACTATTTGGAAGATACCCATTGGACTGTTGGGTATATTGAAGGGAGACCAGCTTAAAGAGAAATGAAACCTAAAGAACTTTTTTTATTTGTAATTGAAAAAAATTGTAGGAATTAAAAAAGAGATTAAGGGAAGAATTAGTAGAGACGAACAGCAATGATGATTTTGCGGCACTGGGTGAATGTAAACCTCATACTGGGTACTTGACAATTAGTCTGGATAAACTTTTGGATGGAAAAACTTTAATAGCAGAAGAAAGAAAGGAATTTTTTTTTTTTGTCCTCCTCTGCAACAAATTTCAGCAAATATAGAAATTTCAAATACCTATATACCGGCCTCATGAACTCATTTTATTGTTCATATTCATTTTTTCCCCTCCCCTTCCTCTGAATTTGTTTTTTCCTCCCCTTGGACCAATAAATAGGCCTTACAATTTTATTTTATTGACATTGATAGAGTTTTACTTTTTTTGTATCATGTTTCTAAACAGGACAGTCCATTTATTGACACATTTATTAGTAAAAAGTAGTATTCTTTTAAAAAAAGACTGATATATCGGCATGACACAAAATTCATTACAGCTTTTGTAAGAAACTTATTTTTCTAAACCAAAAATGGACCCAATGCACAGATATGGATCCATTATTTCTGAATGACTATCCTGATTATTTATAGAAATATAGTATTTGGATGATTAGAACGTAAATGTAATCACTGTCGGTAAAATGCTTGCATTTTTTTTTTTTATCTGATCATTTCTTTTATGCAAAAAGTGCAAACATTTATTTGCAAACTAAGCTAAATCTTTGAAAAATGCCTGAGATTGAAACTGAGCTCTCAGTTGAATGGCTGAAGACAGGGCAAATATACGGAGAGACCAAAGGTTTTTTTTTTTTTATAGCTATTCAGGATCAGGTTATTGCAAACAGTGCTTATAGGAAACGTAATAAAAGAAAACCTGGTTATGGATAAATGTCAGCTTTGCTTTAAGACGCATGAATCTATCCAGCATCTAACCAATGGCTGCGATACTTTGGCAAGGCGATACCTGATGAGGCATAATAATGTTGTAAAAATATACCACCAGAGTATATGCAGAACATTTAGACTACTGGACAATGATGAGGTACCCTATTGTTGTATAGTTCAGAAAGACTTAAAGAAAATAGAAATGTCAAAGTTTACTGAGATCAAAATATAATAACAGACCATAAGGTATTGCATAACCATCTGGATATATTGGTTATAAGCAAAATAAACAAAACTTGAAAAATCATAGACATAGCAGTACCCTGTGATACCAACATGGTATGGTTACCATGGTGGTCCACCAGGACCGAAAAAATTAGAAAATATCAAGAACTTGTCTTGGAGTTAAAAACGCTATATCACTTAAAAAAGAAGGAGTGGGGTAGCTCAGTGGTAGGGTACTGAGCTTCCAATGCTAAAGATCCCAGGTTTGAACCCCTACTTATGGCAGAAAATTTATTTATCTGTTTCATTGGCTGTGGGGCAACCCTGAGTCGGGAGAACCTCCTGGGGCATACCCAGCTTCTATAAAGTGGGTACCCATAATTAAATAGTGGAGTGGGGTAGCTCAGTGGTAGGGTACTGAGCTTCCAATGCTAAAGATCCCAGGTTTGAACCCCTACTTATGGCAGAAAATTTATTTATCTGTTTCATTGGCTGTGGGGCAACCCTGAGTCGGGAGAACCTCCTGGGGCATACCCAGCTTCTATAAAGTGGGTACCCATAATTAAATAATCAGTTAAGGGGGAAAACCTGGCGGTTGAGTGTGATCTAGGTCAAATCACCTCCTTGCACAACCGTTGACCTAGAAACAGTGTATTCTCTAAATAGTACTGAACCCAAGACCCTTCATGGGTTGTAGTGGTACAGGTTTTTATTTTTTTTTTATATCACTTCAAAAAAGTGAAGATTATTCCAATTATCATATTTTCTAATGGTTTAGAATTGAAAAGCATAGTAGAGGGTACCCAAGAACTTGGACTTGATTTGGCACATTTAAAAGCAGTCCTGCTTGGTACATGCAGGATTGTTAAAAAAATTCCAGTTAATTAAAGTGGGATGGCTGTAATATAGTTGGAAAGTGACAAAAAAAAAAATGCGAATAATTTATGATAAAAACAGAATTTAGCTCCTCAAAAGTCCTTTTTAATGGTGTTCACAATGAGAAACTCTATTTTCATTAGAAGTGAATTTTTTCTAGTTTACAGTGAAGCAATTGTTTTTTTTAAAAACAACAGTAACGTCTACATCAATCAGTAAAGCATCTTTAATACAATAGATTCTAGACTTACTTGGAATGTTGATTCTAACATCATTGTGACAGAGCTGAATCCTCTTATAAATGCTTCTATAGAATCAAATGCTGGCTGAGCTGACTCCTCAGCCATCTGAATATATCTATAACAATTTTAAAACATTTTTAATGAAAGAATATTTAATAAAAACTACTTCCCTCCTCTTGTATAGTAACTAAGCAAGAAGAGAAGTTTATTTATAGAGATGAAAATACTCCATATCTAATAGAAAAATAAAAGTATAAACTGTACTATTTGCTCTTTTTAAAATAAAATAAAGATTAAAAATTAGATTAACATATTTTAACCACATAAACAAAATAGGTAATAGGATTTTAATAAATATGTACTTGAAGAAAAACTATGAATAATGAGAAGAAAAAATAAACTAAAATTAAGTATTACATTTATACAGACAAACAAAGGTCCATATATCTTCAACTTAATACATTTGGTAGCTATTCAAGCCATACTGTTCCTAGTACAGGTGGAGGGACTTAATCTGGTAAGTGAGCCTATTGTTTCTTTTTGCAAACTCCAGAGACAATAATACCAATGATGGTCTATCTATATTGCCTCCATCTCTGTCTCAAATCTTTTCATTAAGGACTTCAGCTCCCTTTTTTGCAATGTTGTCAACTTTCTCATTGTCTTTAATTCCCTTATGAGCAGGGATTCACACTAGCTCTACATTTTTGGAACAGGCCAATGTCTCCAGTGCCTGTTTACAACCACCAGTGTGGAGGTCACTTTGAGATATTCTAGGGCTTAGATCGCTAACTGACTATCCAAATAGATAGTGATGCTAGCCCTCTCACAGTTATTTAAACTTTCAAACATGTAACTGCTGATAATAGCTTGTCCACAAGTGCATCAACTTTCACACTGACCCAGGCACCAGCCATCATGTAAAAATGAACACATTGTTTTCAGTGGGAGTGGCCACAATGGGGCACAGGCCCTAGACCCTCATCCTCAAACCAAAAAGATAATTGGCTTGCCAATTCTCTCAGCTTTGACTCTCACGCATCCAGGCCGTTCCGATAGCCGGATTTATAGAAATGTTTAAATAATATCTCATTTTCACAACTAATTATGCTAATTTATTGTTTATTTATATTAATATTTTATGGTAATACTGTTAATGTTTCATATTAATAACATTATTTTATTTTAATATTTTATTTAGATATTGTTTATATTTTATATTAATATTTTATATCAATAATGTTAATATTTATTAATTTATTTATTTACTTGTTGTTATAATTATATATTTCAAAAATATTAAAACATATTTTTTTTTTTTTTTAAGGTTAAGGCAATTAAACTTCCATTTTTTTTTTAGTCTTTTTTAATCACATCTATTACATCTGACATTTTGAGACAATTTTTCAATCCTCAGAAAGTCCTTTATATTTACTTGACTTTTTAATGTGGCACCAATTGTCAAAAATTATAATAATTGTCGTATCTATCTAATTATAATACTTTTTGGTGTTACACATCCATTTTCTGTCTATCATCAAACCAACCATTTGTTGGTTATAACTATAATGTTTTAATTATAACTAAGGTTATAATTAAAACATTAAAATTGCTGAATTAATGTATTAAAACAACCTTACAAGTATTTTATATTTATTTATGTATTAACCAAACATAGATTGTTATGTAGACTGTTATTGTTGGTATTGGTATTATTCTCGGACTCCAGGATCGGGGTTCGAGAATTTTTTTTTTTGGTTTGACTCATTTACACTGAAATGGGAGAGCCATCAGATAATATCTGAATTCCCAAATTTTCTTTTCTACTAACAATTAGTTTTGTTAAATTTAATTTAATAGTTCATGTTTTTTTTTTTGTTTTCTTCTTGTTCAAATTGTTGGACAAGTTCTATCCTTGTCAGATTTATCTGACCAAAATTCATTTGTATCATGAAAGGGACTTCTCACAAAAATAATTACCCTGAAGACAAAGTCGGGCGATCGGATTCCAGGATTCGGAAAATTTTAAATGGCGATGATTCAATTGTTCCCAGCGACATTGACATCAATCCGGTAATTTTAATTGACAACCAAATTTTCTAACATTCAATCCTTTCAGTGTAAAGTCCACCGTACTATAGTCGATGCTCCTTTCTATGTCACCAATAAAACCCTGCATAATCACCTTAATATTCCATTTATTCTTGATCTTATCCCAAGACAAATTTTCTAAATGTCATCAGAACCTTACTCATCACCCTATTCCCATAGCACAGTCTAGCACCACCCATCCCTACAATCCTCCTCGCAGGTTAAAACGGAAGTGGCCCCGTGACCTTTTGTAACATGTGTATATTGGAGTTCTGGCAATGGCCAGATTCTCCACTCAAGCCATGAGTATCTGTGGTTGTAGCGCCCTTATTCAGCCTCAGCTGGCTTTTAATACCAGTGAAGTGGTTGAGGGAGAAGCGCAGGTATCTCCTGAAGCGTTTTCGTTTTCGTTACCATTATAATATATGTATACTACAACGTTATTAGCCGTGTATGTTTAGTTACTTTCAAGCCCTCCATAATTTTTTGTTTCTAAACTTTTTGTAGGCTCGACATTATATTTAACTACGTTATTGCCCTATTATTAATCAAGTAATTAGTAAGTTTAGTATATATAGAGACCAGTATATATCAATCCAGTTCAATATTTTTCATGTTTTTTTTACTGCATATTTCAGGATTTTTTACTGCATAAAAATGCAGGCCTTGGCCATGACCTAACCAGTTATTCAACTTTAAATAACAGGAAAAATTAAGTCAGCAGCATAGGATGGCAGTCGCAGCAGTGGGCAGTACCACCAAAGTAATACCTTTATGCTGCTAGTTCTAGTCAGTTCAGAAATAACAGGCACATAAACAGTAGGTGATTTTACAATCTTGAATTAAGACTGAAATCTAAATATCAGCTTGCAAAAGCACATTAAAATTTCATAAAGAAGTATGTCACTGTCCATTCCTTACTATGACTGTATATTCGAATTATTTAATTAATTATAAATAAAGGTTTTCAACGGTCCAAATTTGCCCCTTGAAATTGATGACTGGACACTTAATGACAGCCTGCAGTTCAAGTACCTCGGATACTGGCTATCTTCAAAGGGAGGTAGTGAGGTTGACATTGAACATAAAATAAACAATGGGAAAAGAATAATAACTTCGATAAATTCAACCCTATGGAGTAAAGAAATAAGATTGGAAACTAAAAAGAAGATATACCATTCTTTTGTGGAAAGCATAGCCACCTATGGATCAGAAGTTTGGACAATGACAAAAAAGATGGAAAATAAGTTGCCTTCCATGGAAATGGATTTCTGGAGAAGAAGCTGTGGCATATCTAGAATGAAGCGGATCCCAAACGCAGCTATTAGAGACAAGGTCGGATGTCAAAAGAACATTCTTCACCTGATTGGGACCAAAAGGTTAAAGTGGTATGGCCACTTAATGTGGATGGATGAGAACCGCTGATCAAAGAAAATTTATAACTATATGCCACCTGAAAGAAGGAAGCGTGGAAGGCCAAAGAAGAAATGGAGAGAAGATGTGGAGGAATGCATGGCAGCCAGAGGACTCCGTGAGGGAGATTGGATGGACAGAGAGCAATGGCTTTTGGGTGTTGGAGATATGACTCCTTAAGTTGTAGAAAACCCAAATATAAAAAAAAAATAAATAAATAATTGAATGCCACAAATATTTTTAGTTAATACATTTATTTATATTTCATTGTGGGTATCTTTAATTGTTTACACCGAGGTGTATATATATATATATATATATATATATATATATATATATATATATATATATATATATATAAAAATTTTAATTTGTACGCTGCCATAATCTATAAAACAATATCAGAGTAAGCATTTATGAAATGCACACATGTACATGTATATAGAACAAGATGCCTGTGCACCTTTTTGTCTTCAAGGTCATCTTATAATTTTCTCTTATTAATTTATTTATTTATAACAACTCATTTTTCATTTATTTTCTATCTCTACATATACTCTTTTTCTCCTTACTTTTATTATTTTTGATGACAGTGTACCATATCTGCTCCTATCTCTCTCTGTCATTTTCTGACTGTTTTCTGTCAAATCCTTTCAATGTCTAGTATCCTAACCATCTGTCACATTAACTCCCAATCCCTTTTTATTCATTACGATTAATTCCTGCAGTACTTCACACAAAACTTCTATCAAATTATGCTCAAACCTTACTATGTAAGTTTTAATCCACCACGACCGGACTGGAATTGTGTAGCTATCTTTTTCCATGATAGCCTAAAGACCCGGGTCCTCGATCAGTTCCCAACCTCCGACCATACCCAAGTCGAGTACCTTACCATCGAAATTTCCTGCTATACTCCTTAAACTCCTTTATATCGCACTATACCATCGTCCTCTCATCCCATTTGATCCTCCTTTTGAATCAATCCTGTTCAACTTGGTTCCCCTCTACTCTAAAATAATGATTTCCAGCGACCTAAATACCAATCTCCACACAGAAACCAAAGATAAATCCTATCTGGAAAACCTATTTTTCTCCCTTCATCTCTTCATCATCCCCTTTTCCCCCACTCACCATCTGCAGCTTCGACACCTGGTTGGACCTCTTCATTATAGACACCCCTAAGGATCTTGTCTCCTCCTCTCAATAGCCAGTATCTTTTCTAAAATCTGATGACCTGATTCAAATACCCTATAATATCCAAACTTCTCCAATTCAGTCTAGAACCCTCATTTTCCATCATCTGGAGAATCTCACCCGTGAAACAATACTACCTGATCTTGAATCCTAAGACTGGAATGGAATGTACTCCTGCTCTTCCATTCACTACATGGTTAATATTTTAACATCCAATCTTCTCAGCATCCTTAATATCCATGCCCCTATAAAAACCTCTACCTTTGTCAGGTACACATCACCTGGGATGTGTCAAGAAATTAAAGATCTGCAGAAGAAACACAATGCTGCCCGCAGACGCTTTAGACATACTAGGCTTGCAGATGACTTCCAAGTGTTTAGAGTGCTGTGCAACTTGACTCCATGACCGCAATC